AGACGCAGTCGATGTCAGGCGTGTGTCCGCCGTCACGTAGCCTCCCGCTCGCATACGCGAGAGGCCGCTGTTGCGAGAAGCGTGATGTCGCCGTTGAGACGATCGTGTCGCCTTTTGCGGATAGATTGGCAGCTTTCCTGGTGGAACGCGCTCTCCGTCGGCTTGTGGCATGCCCTGCACGAGGCGCGAGGGTGGTACCCAGCCGCCGGGACTCGGATACGCGCACTGAGGGATGTTCTGAACTGTGCATCGTTGAGGGTGAGTGTTGGGCAGCTGGGCATCACGGTGAGCCAGTGATAGGAGCCGGGACCGCCCGCGCTGAGCTGGAAGGCGCGGACGATGCGCTTGTGGCTGTAGGGGGTGCGTTCATCCAGGATCTTGGTCAGGGTGCGCTGGAGCTTTCTCCCGGCTTTGAGGACCTCATCAATCGTGGTGACGCCGCCCTGTTCCTTGTCGCGCGTCGTGCACGCGAGCCGCGTCAGTGCCGCCGACATCTCGGTCCTGAGCGTGTTGCTGGGGAGGCCGCACTCAAAGGGGTGTCGCGTGCTGTTGAAGAAGTCACGTATGACGCCGAGAAAGGCGGCGGGGGCGGCCGACTCCTGGGACCGGAGGGCGAGCCCGCCACGTTGATAGGGCCGCAGGCAGCGTTGAAGCGACTCATCCTTAAGCGGGTTCGTGTGCCCCAACATCCTGGCCAGGGACAGGGCGATGAGCTCGTCGAGCTTGCGGCACGCCTGGGTGCACTGCGCGGTGGTGCGCATCGTGCAGTTCTCCTTGGCCACTACGCAGTACCTCAGGAGGATGAGGATGTACTGCAGGGGTAGGTGGCGGAAGGCCTTGTCAATGGTGGCTGCGGCGTGTTCGACCCTGTCAACGGGGGCGGCGCTGAAGAGGGGGCTCCCGAGGACGGAAGCGGGCGTCGTCACGCAGAACGGCGTGTACCTGTGTGTGTGTGTGTGTGTGTGTGTGTGTGTGTGTGTGTGTGTGTGTGTGTGTGTGTGTGTGTGTGTGTGTGTGTGTGTGTGTGTGTGTGTGTGTGTGTGTGTGTGAAAACACGATACAGTGGCAGTTTAGTCCGCAGCAGTGTGTGTGTGTGTGTGTGTGTGTGTGTGTGTGTGTGTGTGTGTGTGTGTGTGTGTGTGTGTGGAGACTCACTGTTGCGTGCGCTGCATTGGCTGGATGAGGCGATCCGGTCCAATTGCTCATCCTGACACGACGGTGAAGGTGAGGAGGAAGGGTGACAAGACGAAGGTGTACTCGGGCTAGTAATGCCGCGCAAGCGCGTTCACAAGCCGCGGATGACCGCCAACGCGTGTGTACTGGTGATGCATGCCTGGCTCAGCAGCTGTCAGGAGTTGTCACACACACACACACACACACACACACACATACACACACACACAAGGAAGAAGCAAGAGCAGCGCTCGCATGAGGTGGGAGCAAGCACCTTCAACACAAAGGAAGAAAACGTAGTGAGTGAAGACAGTGCAGCGACGCAGTACACGTGCAGCAGTGGAATCGGCCTCACGTACCCGTTTGCATGCAAGACAGAATAAAGGGTGCGACTGGAATCGATGGCAAGCCCTGAAACAAACCGTGGAAGGAAAGAGATTGTGTGTGTGTATGGGGGGGGTGAGCAGTGGCTGTAACCACAAAAGTGCAGCAGGGCAACCACAAAACGCACGCACACACGCACACACACACACACGCACACACATACACACAACAAACACACACGCACACAACAAACACACACGCATACAACAAACACACACACAC